GAAAAACTAAGGAGATTGGTTAGGTTGCCTAGGAAGAGCCGCGGTAACGGTCATGCGGTGCGCGAGCATTGCTACAAGGAGAACATAGTCCGAAATCATTCGAGGCTCTACGTGCATGGCAAAGAAAGCCAAGATGAGAAGAAGCTGCGGATTGATGGAAGCTGGGGTTGTTGCGAAGGAGCTCACAAGTGGTTGTCATTAGCGTCGCTTATGTAACCTCGGCCATGTCGTTGTTGGTGCACGTCGCTCCGGACATCCATTTGCCATCTACTAAAAGCTGCGCACCTTCATTCATGCGCTCACGACCCTTACTTACTGGTTTACAGCTGCATGGATACTATACGGCACAAGACTACCACGTTTTACTTTTTCATTTAATCATTTTCCCTTAGGTACAGACCGTCTAGGTATATCCGCAACTTCTCTTAACAGCTCGTAGTGACCGCTAGATCCCTAGGGCCCTTGTGCTACTGAGCATGTGTCAAAATTCATCCATGAGTGATTGCAGTCGCGACCAACGAAGCGCTATCCTGCATTCAAGAGCGGTCAAGGAAACCAATCGGCGGAGCTTTGATGTCCAATACTCGTCCTCTGCCTCGCATCATCAAGAAAATGGTGTCACGCTTATCGCAGCTGCTCCCCCTTCGCACACACTTGGCGTGCCTGTTTCAGCTGCTCGAATTCATCAACCTCGGCGGCTTCTTTGATCGCGATCTCTTCGGCCTGTATGCGCGCAAGAGCACGCGATGCCATGGCTCGTTGCTTCTTGGCCTGCTTGTTGTCTTTGCGGTGCAAATGAGGTCCAGTGAAGTCTTTGGCGTTATGAGCCCCACTCACGTCGACATCGTCCAGTTCAGAATAATCGCTGAGTCTGGGCGCCCGGAAGAGCTATAAACCAGTCGTGTGATGTCAGTGGATTTCTCACAAGATTCGCCTGTATAATTTTACCCACCTCATTGTAGAGCCACTCGAATGTGGGCACTGCCATTTCTTCCTTGACGGGGATGTCTTGGTCCAGCGCCATCCAGTCCCGCATCTCGCCTCCCCTCTCTACTCCAATATCGAGAATCTTAAACAGTTCGGTGTATAGCCATAGGGGCGAGAGGATAGAACCTATCTCCTAGCCAGTAACTGCACCTATGCTGATAGCAATGTCTACCGGGTCGCACACCTCCGCTCTCACCTGCGGGTGTAGCCATCCAGAAGATCCAGGGCGAGCAAGCAGGGAGGGTCGCGGATTTTGGGCATCACCAGCCTCGGCAGTGTCTCTCTTAACCTTTAGGACATCCCCTACACGCTCTGCCGCCCGACGCTCCTTCTGTTGTCGGTACTTGAGGTCATCCTGTCGCACCTGTATAGTCCGCCGTTGATGCCCAGTCATGCCCATACGCTTTTGCAAGGCTTCCAGTTTCTCTGTTTCGCGCGCCTTGTCCGCCTCGTGCTTGGCCTTGAAGTCTTGGAAGATCTTCTTCCATCGTATTCCCAGATTCGGACGACCGTTACGAGCATCCTTGACATTACGGTTGTAGTCGGCGATGAAGGGGTGTTCAGCGCAGCCGGTGACAGCCCTCACAGAGAATCGGGCCCCACATATGACCTGGAAAGTATACATTATTGTCTATGTTGTACAGGTACTACGACTTTCTTACTACTTCGTTGTAAGTCGGCAATGCTTGGTCCTTGTCAACCACCGGTGCGAGGCACCAGGCGACGTGCAATCTGTGAATGCAGCTCGCTTTAGGTGCGCTGCCGCCACACTCCGTGTCTTCGCAATGGTGGGAGCTGTGCATCCACGTTTGCGTTCTGATGTTGTTGAGCATTGCGGACTTCCGATCGAGAAGGCCTCCGTATGCCTCCTCGAGATCAATGTCGCTATATCGCCCGTATTTCGGCATGTCGAGAGTAGTTGAGTTGATCCTTACTTGCGTTGGGTTGAGTCGAGGCAGAAAAGAATGTAGGCTTGAATTAGAGGGATGGACGCTAAACTATAGTCATCTGGTGTTATCTGCGCAGGTGTGAATACTGCTGTAGGCTCCAGCCTTGATTTGCGCTCTTTTTGGCCATTCACTCCATCGCGTATTGACAATGACGCAACGCGTGCCTAACCCGCGACTTTCTTCTTATTTATCATCATCGCCAGCTCTCAATACTCTCCCTCACGCAACTTCGGCGATCATTTCCTATCAACTGCTCAACATCCTGCGTCAACATGAAGGTTACCTTTAACGCCTTCGGCTTGCGCCAGGTAGCCAATCTTTTCAAGCGGTCTGAGTCGAACACTACCGACCCCTCTCGTGAGCGCCTCTTCCCGCCGGTACCCTCTCCCGCAGATCCACCGGTTCCGCACCATTCGTGCGCAATCATCAACGAGTTGATTCAACGAACGCACTTAAGGCTTGCCAAGCCTGTCCTATCTACCCACACAGTCACTGTCACTGCGAACACAATCGCTGCTTCACCAAACAATGAGCCACCAACAGCGTCGAGCGCGACTGCCGAGCCAACAACCGTACTGGTCGGCACACCGGAAACTGAACCCGCACCCGCAAATATCAATGTCGACCCAGTCGTCGAACACCTTGAGGCTACAACCCCGATCACGGTACCCGGGACTGCAGGACTGGATGACTCAATCCAGTCAGCACTTCCAAACCACGACGGGCTCGAGCTCAGCAACATAAACCTGAATGACTCTGTCCAGACGGCACTCATAGGTCACGACGGGTCAGAGCTGAGTGAGGCAGAACTGAATGACTCAATTCAGTCAGAACTCCAAAGCCACGACGGGCTCGAGCTGAGCAATTTAAAACTGGATGACTCAATCCAGGCCCCATTATCAAGACACCATGAGCTAGAACTGAGCAAGATAGATCTGGATGATCCAATTCAGACACCGAAACACGACGGTCGAGAGCTTAACAAAAAAAAACCGGATGACTCAATCCAGACAGTAGCACCGAAACAGGATCGTCGAGAGCTTAGCAAAATCATCACCATCATTCACCTACATGACGAACCTGTCACCCACTCCGAGACGACGCCTCCCCCGGAAATAGCTGATGACTGTACCCAAACGGAACTAACCTTGTCTGATCATCTAAAGGCAAGTGGCGCCAGTACCGGAGACGACATCTTCGAGGAAGACAGCGCCCAGGACGACCATACGATTGATGTGGTCGAACAGCGCGAGCATACACAACCTGTTGCTCTGAGTGATATCACGGATGGGGAGCACCACGTACCCGCCACAGAGGATGCTAGGGATGAGAAGGCATCCAATGAAATGGATGAAAATCTATTCCCAGATTCATCATCGGAATCATCCGAGGAGGAGGAAGAAATAATCGACCCCGAAGTTTTGCGAGCTGATTGGGAGCCTCTCATCGCCATCCCGGAGCGCCGCTTCTTTCTAGCACTCTTGCAACATCTGCCTGAAGACCATGGTATTACAGTTGACAGCATCCGCTGCATCGAGAAGATCAAGGGTGGCTTCAACTTCGTGCGCATACTTGAGGTTAGTACCGGTCCATATGCCGATCGCTACATTGCCAAGGTGCCATCTGTGGGCACGGCTGCACGCTGGCAGGAGTCTGATGCGTACATGCTACGCAACGATGCGCGAACAATGTCCTTTATTTTCAAGCACACGACGATCCCGAGCCCTGACGTAATTGGGTTCAGCGACTCGCTTTCCAGCGTTCTGACTGCGCCGTATATCATCATGCGCGCGAAAAAGGGCATCCCATCCAACAAGATTTGGTTCGACCGCGACGAGGATGACGGTGGCGATGACATGATGAACGCCTACCTGGTGGACGAGAAGCGCATGGCTATCCGTTTGAACTTTCTCCGCTCTCTTGCGGGCCAGATGGCCAAACTCCAAAATCTTGAGTTCGATCGAGCCGGCACCTTGAACTTTGATGACGATCCAGAGAGCCCAACAATTGGGCCGACTTACCACTGGAAAACAGTCTCAGAGCTAACTCAGCTCGACATCGACGAATTGTCCACTCCCGCAAGCATAAACTGCGTGCGTCCTTTCAAGACGGGCTACGCGTACTTCGCGACTGCTTTGGACGAAGTCTGGCCCCGCGAAGACAAGTCAAAGGCCCACATCCACGACGGTCGGCGCCATGTCATGGAGTGTATGCTCGCCTTCCCACCCTTCGACGAGTCCAAGAAGGTTGGCGACAAGAAGGAGACCTTCGTCCTACGCCACGACGACCTGGACTTCTAGAACATTCTTTGCGACGAGGAAGGTAACGTCACGGGTATTATCGACTGGGACAAGGCTCGCGCGGCGCCTCGATGCCTTGGCTATGCCGCGCTTCCTCTTTCCTTACCAGGGATTGGACCCCCGAATTCGCCACGTATATGGACATTCACATGCCATGGGAACTCGAAGAGTACTCCAACGTGTACGCGCGCGCTATGCTCGAGGCCACAGGCTCGGAGGGCGATGGGAAGTACACCATCAACTCGGCCATCTACGCCGCGGTTGACGCAGCGCTGTATGGAGGACACAATGGTGGTGGCAGTGTGCCTAGTTTGGTGTGCAGGATGCTTAAGGAGATGAAGACCACGCGGAAGTTTGATGATGCGGATATGCTGACGGAATTTGGGAAAGGCTGGGATCAGGGCGAGCGCAGAGTGAATTTAGAGATCATAAAGCTGATCGCTCCTCAATCTGAAGTCGAGGTAATGGAGCCACGGCTTCATGATGATGAGTAAATAGAGATGGGTTTACTTGTTCGGGCGTTTGCTCCTGTTGTTCAGTGTCAGCTTTCTCTGTTCTCTGTTCTCGTTGTTCAATGTCAATGTATACCAAAAAAAGAAAACTCACAACGCTTTTGATTTCGACAACTCATAAGATGACTGTCGTGTGTGAAGAAACCATTGTACTCGCTAATCAGCAATGGTTCGTTCTCCGCATCATGCACGATCCCAAAAACGTGCCTCACAGCCACCACCACCACCCACCAGAACAGCAAAAACAAATTTCTCCGCTCCCAGAATCGAACTAGGGACCTTCTGATTACAATGATATTACAGTCAGACGCGATAAACCAACTACGCCAAGTGGAGTGATGTGTATCCAAATGAATACGCTTGAATTGTTTCATGCAGAATTGAAGAGCTATTAGCTATATATTGAATAAAGGCAAGAACTGTAATGCGTGCTAAGAGACGTGAAATGTGGGAGCGATTTATGGGAGTCGTAAGAGCAAACTCGGAGGTGAAATGGTGGTATGACTCCACCATGTCTCAGAATCTTGCAGAGTCACAACATCATGAAGGGAGGTATTTAGAACGACTGCCAGAAACACATTACCTTTTGTTGGTGATGAAAAGCGTGCGTGAGCCAGCGGAACGCAAGGTCTGTTTAATTCTCTCCGAAAACAATGTACATCGTACTAGATCATTATACGATGCGATATAGGACCATACAGATTGTGGAGCATTGCGTGCAGCAATATCTGCCAGGAAGCGCAAGTTTGTCTGCCTAGCCTTCCACTCTCGGGACCTCAGCTTCAAGCACACCTGAGCAGGGACAATTCGAAACAAATGTGACTAGAGTGTGCAAGCTTCAGTTTTCGCAATGTACTGGGGTTATCTGTAGGTGATGAGGTGCGTGGAATTTTGTTGGTTTTGGCGTTGCAATTGGATGACGTTGACGCGTTCCACGAACGTGCGCGCTGGTGGCGCAAAAACACGAGGTCACATGCAGGCTCTCTGCATCTACAACTCGACATTTTTCATCGTCCATCCACGGGCTAAGTCATACCTTGGTTTCGCCTCACAAGACTACGATAGCTCCACCAGAATATGTCTCGAACACGGTCATCGAAGGCTGAGATGCAGGAAGAGCCAGCATCTGTGGTTCAGAGCGATCAGGGGCTTTCCGACCACACAGATGCGCCACCATCATCAGCATCCTTCAAAGGTCGTCTCACCAAATATCAATATGCCGAAACCTCAAAATCTCCTTCAGTTCCTACTGAAAGTGAAGCCCGACCACAGCGCGTTGTAAAGCGCGCCCGAACGAGCGAGGCCAGCATCGGAGATGACAATACGACCACTTCTCCACGACCGAAGAAGAAGCGCACTCCAAGCAAATACGCAGATCCGTCAAAATACGCACATCTTGCGCCGCTTGTCGACATCCTAGAGCCCAACTTGATCTGCGTATTTGTTGGAACTAATCCCGGTGTCCAAACTGCAACAGCGGGCCATGCATACGCCCACCCATCGAACCACTTCTGGAAACTCCTTCACGCCTCGGGCCTTACCAACCGGCGCCTCAGACCTGAAGAAGACCGCAGTCTCCCAGATTTGTACTGCATGGGCAACACAAACATCGTCGAGCGCCCCTCCAAAGACGCAGCCGAACTCTCAAAGGAGGAAACGGCGGCCGGGACCGCCAATCTCGAGGCCAAATTTCTCAAGTACAAGCCTGAAGCTATTTGTATCGTCGGCAAAGGCATTTGGGAATCAATCTGGCGCTATCGACATGGTAAGAACATGGGTAAGAAGGACTTCAAGTATGGCTGGCAGGATGCCACACATAACATGGGGAAGAGTAAGGACGGCGTGGAAGAGATGGATGCAAATGGTGATGTCTGGAAGGGCGCGAAAGTGTTCGTCACCACTAGTACGAGCGGTCTTGCTGCGAGTCTGAAACCAGCGGAGAAAGAAGCCATCTGGAAGCCATTTGGAGAGTGGGTTCAGAAGAGGAGGATCGAACGAGAGTTCGTGCCACGAGTTGCAAGCAATGAAGAGGCTGCAGAGGAAGAGTAAATGCTGTGAGTTGCCATGGACCGTGTCGGCCAGGCCTCGGCAAAGAAATGCACGCTTCATGCCCCGCCGGGAACTTGAGCTCTCCACTCCGGATTGAACCCCTGGACCTAGTCCGTCAACTCGCCCTTTGCCGGCGTCTCCCTGTGGCGCCGGATCGACCCGCAATACAACCAAGTTGCACCGCCTCACCGCTCCAACTATCATTCCCTCCTTCCAGTTTGACGACATCCCCTCTCCTATTTCTCGCAAACAGCAATCCAGCTGTTGTAGCGTACAGCACCCAGAATTTCTTCTCGGCAGCACAAATACCCGTCGACCCACGTTCCACACAGCCACACGCTGACTGGCCCCGCTTGATATTACCCTACACGAAGCAAGCGCCACAGCTAACCTTAGTGCGACGCTAGACTCCGGCTAACCGGCACGCCTGCATATGCGGACGAACCTCACTTCACATTGTGCATGCACGGAAAATTTGTTTGGGAGGTGTGCAACACACTCGAACGTCTCTGAAGAAGAACCATTGGATTTCGGACATGAGATGCGGACAACGTCTCAGTCTGGCGTAGGCGTTCGGAAGATACCCACCGTATTTGTTGTAATCGCAACGTCCCGCATGCATCACAATCATTCATCCTGTGCTCCAGATACCAAGACTTTGCACACGCGTATAACAAGGATCCACGCAGCGGCGTTACAGCAGTGGCTCATTAGCGCCCAGCAAAACCACACATAGCTGCCACAGCTGTGGCGCTTACACATCGCAATCACAAGTCAATGGCGGCGGGTCACCCTTGAAGAAATGAAGCCATACTTTCGCTTGTGCGTGGACAGTGCATAGGTAGCTTCGTAAGTTGACGTGCCGTGTGCCGAATGTGACGTTTAAGGAGGGAAAACACGCCTCGTATGCCACACTGCCACACTTCTACATCAGCCATACTTGCGACTCTGCCACTTCTCCAGCTTTCTCACCAGCCACTCTTGAACGCTTAATCCAACCACATCCACCGTATCGCAAGTCTCATCACAACGGTGAGATGTCGTATCCCCAACAACAACAAGGCTACTACGGTCCTCCACCGGGACAGCAATACGGACAATATCCGCCGCCGCAACAACCTGTACATCTCACGAAAATCTGACCTCACGCTCCAAGTAAGGCTTGAGTAGGACCGAAGTGTGGCTAATACGATGTCAACGCATAGATGTACTACGCCCCCGCCCCAGCCGCGCCTCCGCCGGCGCCGAAGAAAGAACGGGGTTGTTTGACAGCGTGGTGAGTTCACAACGTCAAGTGCACGAATATGATAGGATACTGATAAAAAACGCAGTCTTGCGACGCTGTGCTGTTGTTGGTTGTGTGGCGAGACGTGTGAATGCTGTTTGGACTGTTTGGATTGTTGTGATTGTTAAGTGTAACTGCGCGGGAAAGGGTTCGAGAAATTTCGTTAGCATGGGAGGAGAAGCTGTTTGTACAATATAACTGGTGTTCATTTCGAGTCCGTGTTGCAACGATGGGAGTCTAAGTTGGCTGAGGAGCAACGATCCTTCGCTAAGATATGCGAGTAACTAAATCATATTAAGAGACGTGAAGGAGGCCGTTACGATTTTACCATGTCGATGCATCGAGGCCGATGCTGCGCAACGGCAAGAACTATTCTCAATCAGAGTCGTACGCCTCTTCGAGCTCTTCTTGGTATTCCTTCTGCGCATCAATCATGTCTTGACGCTTCTCTTCCAGCGACTCGCGGTCGCTACTTGAAATGGACGAGCCGTCTGCGTCGTGTGTGGGGACAGGAGGAGGGTACGCTGAGCTTCCGTAGGGGTCGGCTGCGGGCGGAGCGCCGTACATGGGCGCTGCGGCGGCGGGTGCGGCGGCGTAACCTGACGAGGAGGACTTATTGTTGTCCTCGGCTGCGATGTGTTAGCGATGAAGAAAAGTGCGCAATGGTGGGCATATCATACTCAGTTCGTGGCCGATCCAGGCACCAGCAGCGACACCACCGATACCTGCGGCAGCAAGCATGGCAGTGGAATGACCCTTATCCTTTTCCTTGTCCTTCTTCTTCTCCTTTTCGTTCGTGGCAGCGCCCGAAGGAGTGTAGTCGTGACCTTGGTGTCCATGCGTGTTGCCAAAGAGACCGCGCTCATCGTGTCCTCCAGGCGCTTGGTACGGCGCGCCCGTTGGAGGTGGCGCATACGGACCAGGGGGCAGATTTGAAGGAGGATCCCATTGTGTACGCCCAGTGGCCTGTTCTACGTAGTACCATCGCTGGCTGTTCTGATCCCATTGCTGGACCCAGCCAGGTGGCATGGGCGGTGGAGCTCCCATAGGCGCGGGCGGGCCGATAGGTGGTGGGCCCTGGCCATAAGGTTGCTGTGGGTAGCCTTGTGGGGCGTAACCTTGACCTTGTGGAGGGTAACCTTGTCCCTGAGGAGGATACTGTTGTTGCGGAGGGTGACCGCCAGCAGGCGGGCCATGATAGAAAGAATCGGAAGCTCCACGCTCACCATGAGACGCGCCACCTGGTGCATCATGAGATGAGTCTTTGGTCACATCTTTGTGAGAGTCTAGTGCTATATGTTAGCAGGCTGCGCGACGTCTGGGGCGACGCACATACCTTCGGGTTTTTTCTCCACCTTCTCGGGCTTCTTATCGTCGTCGAGAAGCTCCTTCATCTTCTTCTTGAGGAAGTCCATGATTAAGAGGTGTTGGGTGATCTCAAATGTGTGTAGAGGGTGCTAAGCAATAAGGTGACTGAAGTCTGAGAGCTTGCTTTATACGAATGCGGCGGACGACAGCCTTTAAGCAAAACAACTTAGGTATGACTAGTAGTGGGGCACAGAGGAGCTTACAGCTTCTCGGTAAGATGTAACCCGCCTGCTGCCGCACCGTGCTCATGGTCGGGCTATTTGTGCTTGGCAATGATGGACGCTCTATCGCATAGAGGGGCAGGCTGACCCTGTTCAATGGTGGACAGACGACAATAAGTGGGGTTGCAGGAGTTCTCGCGGCTAGCAAAAGCTTTAAACGATATGAGCTTGGGATTAGTGATGCTTGGCCCGTAGGTGTTGATATGTTAAGCAGAACCAGGGTGGGCGTTTTGTGTGTTCCACTTCCTCGAGCTGTCCAATTGTGGGATGAAAGGAAGATTCATCATATTCGTGTTCGTCGGATCAAACGGCTACGCGTTGCCGGTTCGTCTGTGTCTGCATGACCATGTAGGTGCATGTGTAACATGGCATGTTCGTAAGTAGTGCTGGGATAGTGGCGCATTAGCGGCATG